AGAGAGAGAGAGAGAGAGAGAGAGGAGAGGAGAGAGAGAGAGAGAGAGAGGAGAGAGAGAGAGAGAGAGAGAGAGAGAGAGAGAGAGAGAGAGAGAGAGAGAGAGAGAGATAGCAGCAAATTCAAGATCATATCAAGTCAAGCCACATGTAATTTGACCATAAATCCAGTTATGACACGTATAGCCCTAACACAACACAAGACAAGTATGTATTTGTGTGTGTGTGTGTGTGTGTGTGTGTGTGTGTGTGTGTGTGTGTGTGTGTGTGTGTGTGGTGTGTGTGTGTGTGTGTGTGTGTGTGTGTGTGTGTGCAAGGCCCTCCCACGCACCATCGGAGGCAAAGTCTATCTAAGTCCTTCCACAGACCTTGATCTGAGTGACCCAATCAATAAAAATCCCAATTAAAAAAAAAAAAATGAAAATATATACACACACCTGTAAAATTACCACATCATCTTCTCACGAGAATAGACTCCTGTTCGACTACAATTCTCCTTGGCCATGAACTATTTACGGGATGACTGGAATACGCTGTTCCGGATTTGGGGATCTAACATATAGGCCATTGTTCTTGATCCATGGAAATCTCAGCTTTACGAATTCGTCCCAGGATAAGAATGAGATCCTGGTAGAGATAAGAAGGGCGAGGGTGCCGCCTCTTAAAGAAAGACAAGACAAGACAAAATGCGGAGTAAAGAAGGGAAATAAGAGTGGGAGAGGGAGAAGAGTGTTGAAAAGGAAATAAGTATTAGTATAAAAGACGGGGGCGAAACCCATTGCATGGTATTATATATATATATATATATATATATATATATATATAATATATATATATATATATATATATATATATATATATGCATTTATAATCGGTTATGGCGAGTGTGGAGGAGTGGGGTAAGTAACTGACTGGATTTATTGACTGTAATGCTGACGGTTAATATGGAGTGATATACTAATATGACAAACGTAAAAAAAACTTTTTTGTTTGTTTGTTTGTTTTTTATGTATTTTAGGGTTTTTTAAGAGTTATGTGTTTTTTTTTATTGATTTGTAAAGTAACATAGTGACTTAAATTAAAGAGAGAGGTTGGAATAGAGAGAGATATATACAGAGAAAGATAGAGGAGAGGGAGAGTGAAGAAGAGGGAAATAGAGAGAGAGGAGGAAAAAGGAGAGAGAGAGAGAGAGAAAGAGGGGAGGACAGGTGGTGATTAACATGTGCCAGTATGTAATTTTATTCCGTATACATATATATATTTTTTATCTTTATGTTAGACTGGATATTTTACAAAGATACTCCCTTTAATCTCTTTTTTGTTTATCATATCTATTATCATTCCCTTTATAAGCATCTTAACATATCTGGTATATTCACATGCAAACCAATTGCACAAGTAATGACCTACATAGACGGTTACTCAAATTTTTGTTTTGGGGAACGATACTATTATACACAATACTTACGTCAAAAATCCTATAATCAAAAGATATACAACTTTTCTCCTCCAGAAACCACTCTGTGCCACTGAGCCCATCTGATGACGTCATCGATTTCGTCACTGGCGTCACAGAAAAAGATAAAGACTGTATCACATGAACCACCGTTTCGTATTTCGGTGTAATCGATTTTTTAACGGTTTCCTTCGTAGTTTTGTACTCTGGTTTTACGAAAAAGTATCAACAATGATACAGTTTTGTAAATCTAGAGGCTAGCTTTCGAAAAAGGAGTGCAGACTGTTACGTTATAATCATATAACCAAGTTTGTTTTTGGTAAAGGTACAGTTAAGTACAATTTTCACCAACCAGGGGACTGTCTCTCAGATACGACGATCTTAGCAGCTTAGCTGGATACCTGTTATATACCTCTTAATCACCAGATCTTCCACGCCCATACACCCACCGACGCGGGCGAGCGGCGGACCAACGACCGAGGACCAGCTCCGCCAGGAACGCGAGACCGGCCAGCCCAAGACCCAGACCCAGGATACACAGAGGCCCTTGCATGTGGTAGAGGGTGAGGGTCCGGTCGCCGCCCCCTTGGCCGACGGTCTCCTCGGCTCCGCGTTCCTCCTTCTGCCTCCGGAGGCTCTCCACGCGCGCTTCCTCCATCGTGTCTCTGTGCCACTTGAGGAACAGGCCATTCTGGAGAGGCACGGGGCGGGGGGGGTTATGATGAAATTGATAATATCAGTAAAAATGATGATAACAAAAACAGTGATAAGAATGAAAATAGTAGCAGTAGTATTAGTAGTAGTATTAATGACAAGGATAATGATCATGATAATATTAATGATAAAGATAATAAGAATAAGAATAAAAAGAATCTCAATCATGTTGATGTAACTGTCAATGATTTAAAATTACAGTATTGATATCATGGCAATGACAACAACAACAATGGAAATACGAAACGTGAGATTGGTATCGATGCGAAAGACGAACAAAAACGACTCGGCAGTATTCACGAGCGACCTCGTCCCACCTCGACGAAAGCCGTGAGCAGGCGATCCAGCTGCCGCTTGTACGGAGCCCCCTGGGGAACGATCCAGCCGGCGGGAACCGTGTCCACGCTGCCCTTGCCCGTGTAGAGCGTCGGCCCGCTGGCGGCGCTGCTGAAGTTCGAGGCGATGGCGTAGTCCAGGAACATGCGGTTGGAGATGACGGCGTGGCTGTCGGGAGAGCGGGGTTGGGGCTCTCGTTACGCGTTCGTTTTTGGGCGTTTTGCGGGCGGACGGGACTCGCTTTCGTAAGGTTTTGGAATGGATCCTGTCCATTCTTTGGGCCTTAATTTAGGGGAGTATGTAGAGCATCACTGTGGGCAATGTATAGCTCACATATACACATTATATGGAAGCTTCCTGGAAGATCATCGATATATGCTCATGTACATAATTAAATTCATTGCAACGCTATATGTAACACAGCATGCATATCCTGACGATTTTTTTTAACTTAAACCATATAAAAGAAAAAAAATGCATAATGAAAAGACATAAAGGCCATGGACAGACCCCCAAAGAATCTGTTCTGAAGGAGAAGACAGAACAAACAAAGGAAATCCAATTTTAATTCTCGTTTCCCAAAGGACTTATATCCTACTTCTCCTTCGCCGCCAGCTCCAGCGCCTCCTCTATGGAAGGCCCGACGAAGAGGAGTTCCCCGACGGCCCTGTAGACGCTGCTGGGAGACGACAAGTAAAAGTCCTTCCAATACTTGCCGTAGGGAGGGATGTTGATCCTGTGGAAGGCGCAGGAGGCGACGCGTGAGAGAGGGAAGGAGAACTTCACAAAGAAAAGGATGTGGTTTCTTCGTCTGATGTGCCATCTTCATTAGAATTTATCATCTTTTTATTCATTTATTATAGATTATTTCATCATTGCTATTTCTTAATGTGATTCGTGTCATTCTTTTCTCTCTTTTTTTTGTCTTTTCTTGGTGTCTCGATTTAGGCTTATCTCTTCTTTGCGTGTTTACTGCTTTGTCATCTTTCTGAGCTTTTTTAATTTGCATGTGTTAACGACCATGATAATAAAAATGGTGATAATTATAACATAACAATCATTACACGTAGTGATCATGAAATTTATTATGTTGATAATTGCTCAATTGATGATGATAATGCCAATAATAATGTAAGAAGATATGATAATGACAATATAAATGCTATTTGTAATGACAAAATTAATGATAATAACAATAATAGGTATAGTAAAGTTATTGCGATGATGATGCTAACAGTAGTGATATTGACACTAATAACAATAGTTTGTAGTAAAAATAGTACACAATCATCGCCATAAGAGAGTGATGTAGTTATATTAGTGACCCGCTTTTGATAATGATAATAATGACTATAGTAATGAATATTGTGAAAAAGTCATAGCTGTACCTTACTTTTGATAGTAGTTATATATACCTTCATTAACATACCACAGCCAGTCAAAGATCACTCGTTCATCCTCTAGTTCTCCTCACAGACCTCTCGCCTTCTCCCACACTCACCTATCCACCGCTTGCACGAGCTCCTCGACGGTCTCAGGGCGAGGAGGCTGCGAGCGAAGGATGAGGGCGGCCATGAGGTTGGTCCTGTAGGCGACACCAACGATGAGGGAGAATGCCAGCCACGCGTTGATGACGAGTCGGGTCGCCGTGGCGGTGAGGCGCCGTTGAGCGAGGTCTTGGCCCAGGAGGGTCTTGTAGAGCTGCAGGAGGCCGTTGCCGAGGGTGGGATACCAGTCGCCTCCGAGGCAGTGCATCTGTCGAGGGACAGGGGTGTTTATCGGTACGATGTGAGGGCGAGTAGATGGTATGATGGATCCTTGGACGCCCGCAGAAGGAAGCATATAGTGTATAGATAACAGTCGGTGGTGGGCTACCGATTACACACACACGCACACGCACGCACGCACATCAGGATACCTACGAGTCTGAGAGCCAAGGCCACGAGACCCGTGGCGACGACGACGGCGGCCCAGACCTCGCCCGAGAGCGGGGTGACCAGGCTCGCCCAGGGAGGGGTGGGGGCGGGCGTCCTCATGGCGAAGACGCGGTGGAGGAAAGTATACCAGCGGGTGAAGTCATATCGCTCCAATCTCTCGGGCAACATAGAGTGAATCAAGGGACACAGGAACACTTCCCTCCCTTCTACCAGCCTGTCAATCTGCAACGGAGCGCAGAAAAGAACTCTTTCTCTCTTTGTGTGCGTGTGTTTACATACGCTTGAGATATGAATCAAACATCACTAAAGACACTAAAGACACTAAAGTGCAGAAGCCTTCCGACCACGCCCTGACCTCCACAAAGTCTCTCGCCTCGACTTGGCTGACGGTGAAGTTGAGCGTCTCAGCCACCGTCTTGAGGGCCAAGTAATCCGTTCCTGAATACACGGTGGCGTTCGCCCCGCCCTCCGTCGCCGTCTGCGTCTCCATCCAGTTGGGCATCCACGGCCGCACGGTCACGGGCACAGCGGCGCCGTGGAAGCTGGCAAGAGGAATCATTACATATTATATATATATATATATATATATATATATATATATATATATATATAGTATATATATATATATATATATATATATATGTATATATATATATATATATATATATATATATATATATATATATATATATATAATATATAATATACATACATACATATATACATAATAATATATATATATATATATATATATAATATATATATATATATACATAATATACATATATATATTATATACATATATATATATATACATATATATACATATATATATATATGCATATATATACATATACATATCTATCTACTCATTTGTTTTGAAACAACGACAAAAGCCAGTCCTGACGGCGTCTCCGTCAGACTCCTACTTCGAATACTTTTCCTGGAAGACGGAGGCGCCGGGGCTCAGCACGAGGCCGGAGTCTGGAGTCCAGGAGCCCCCCCTGGCCGTCTGGTGGGGTCCGTGGGGTCCGTAGGGCAAGTGTGTGTAGAGGCCGTACCTAGAGCGCAAGGGAGAAGGAGAACATACCCTGAGGGAACGACTTGGAAAATTAGTGACGGTGGTGTTAGCGGTGACTTGAGGACACGACCTTCCCCATCGTGAATAAAAAAGCGATATTCTCAAAGATCGCGCTCGATTTCAGAGTGAGCGAGCATCCCGAGTTAAATATCCAAACACTGAAACGGAGAAAATGATCCTAGAAGACGAGGCAGAACAAAGACGCACTACGTTAACTCCCATCTTTACCTCCTCCTCCTCCGCCTCCCCTCCTCTCCTCTTGGCGTTCCTCCGCGTTTACGAGCAAGACGTTCATCATGGAGAAGGCCCAGTGGTCGCTCAGGAGGTCACGGAGCTCCTGCGGGGCGAGGCGGGTGACCAGCAGGAGCCGCGTGTCCCACTGCAGGAGGCGGCACCGAAGGGAGACCTCGGCGAAGGCGGCGAGGAAGCCCGGATCCGCGCTCGCTACCACCACGACGGCGCCCCAGGAGGTGGTCGCGAGCTGAGGGGAGGGACGCCTTCGGGTTCAGGGTCTAAGGAAGTCAGACCTTCTTCAGGTTTGCCTTTCATTGGGTGTCGATCTTTTTTCGTGCGATGGTGAATGGTGTAATCGTTATCAACATCGTTATTGTTGTTATTATTATTGCTGTTGCTGTGATGATTGATATTACTATTGATATTATTATCATTGTTATTGTTGTTATGATTTTTCACTACCCTTTTTATCACCCTTATTCTCATCATTGTTATTACTATCTTTGCCATCATTGCCTTTATTATTATTTGGTTATTATTATCATTCCAACAATAATAATCATTCTTATCATCCCTATAAAGACATTTCTTATCAATACTCTTCCTCCTTTTCATATTTCTTCATGTTAATCTGCCTTCGTTCAGCAACAAAATATACCTGTCCTATAATATCTTATAATTTAAGTTTTTAAATTGATCATTATATATATATTTTTTCATTATCATTATCATTTTCTTTCCAAACCTTTCATATTTATTTTTCATTACTTTTTATCATTTTTTTTTACAAACCTTACATATTCATTTTCATTATTATCATTTATTTTACAAGCCTTACATACTTATCTTTCATAATCATGATAATTAATCTTTTACAAACCTTACGCGTGTCTGCAACCATTTGGGTCATGTTGCCGCCCTCCTTCCCTGTTTCCACCACGAACACGCCCACGCCCATGGGAGCCTCCACGTGGCTAACCACCTGCAAATAACACAGGGAAATTCTTGGTGTGAGAGTAGAATATTAAGAAACATGTAATGATGCATTATTTATTAAGATATTGCACTTCGATATTTTTTATTAAGCTTTGCTATGAAGATATTATCCTTAAAAGTTTTTTTTTCCAGAAAGATACTATTATTAAGATATCCGTAAATATTCTGCACTGTGAAATGCTACCCTTAAACTGAAATTGGAAATCTTAAATATTTTCCGTTATCCCTTAAAACCCTTAGATATACTACCAATAAAAGCATTACAATGAAATGTTTTACCCATTAATTCCATTTGAAATAATTCTTATAAAGTAGTAAATATATTACAAAAAAAAACAGTCTGTCTATCTATTCATTCATTTATTTTTGTATTTAAATATCTATCTTTTAGTTTATTACTATCCACCTATTTGTTCATTTACACATTAAGGCATTTTCCCTTTATCTATCTACCTTTTTCGTCATAATGATAATAATGATCAGTCTTTTTTTTATATATAATTCCCATTATTTATCTACTTTTTTCATCATAATAATAATGCTCATTGTGTTTATATTTATTCTTTTCACGTTCATCCTGATCGGGATTCTACATCAAGAATCTCGCCATCAAGGAACATCTGGAAATCACATCAAAACAGCGTCAGGAACATCATCAGTCGCTGGTTTGTTTACGTGGATGTGCGTCTGTCCCCTCGCCTGTCAGTTTCGCAGAATACTCCTTCTCACCAGACAAGAATATCCCTCC